AAACTTGTTGTTGGTTTTCTTTTTGGGAGTTTGGAAATGCCAGAAAACTGGATTCACATCTAACAACATTTGGGAACAACACTAAAAAAAACATTGTCACCGTCAGAAAAAAAATACTTAACTGTTTTTGGGGGTTTTCTCAGAATTGGACAAATCATCCAGTGTTTTGTGTCTGGAAAAACTTCTACCTCTGTGCAAGAAATGACTTCTTGGAGTCTGTTTTCGTTTTTTGGGTTGCAATCCCTCCAGATAAAATAAAACGGCCCATAACTTTTAAGTAGGGAAATAATAACATCTTTCCAACTATATAAGCGGATAAAGGTGCATAACTGCCAGTGGCTCAAGTTGAGGTCAGAAAACCATTTATATAAGACTTTACTTTGCTTCCAACATTGCATATGACAGAAAGCTCTTATTTATATGCTTTCCAGATCCTTGGATACACTATTTTTCTAGTCATTATTCATGCCTCAGCAGTGGTGAAAATATGATGGGTTTACCGACTAAAGTTTGGCTCAGACTTGTGCATTTAAAAGCAATAATAGTAGTAGCAATATAAAGAATTGAGAATTAATCTGGAGATTTTTGTATTAGGTGGCTACACCAAATATAAACACATTTCAGAATCAGAATCAGATTTATTGCCAAGTAGGTTTGCACTTACAAGCAATTTGACTTGTTTGATGGTGCAGACAAATTAGATACAGAATCTATAGTTATATAAAATATTAAACATACAATATGCTATATACAATATATAGTATATAGCTATATAAAATAAGTCTGGAGATGCTATGTTAGTGTATCTTCTAGGTCCTGAACTGGGGAGGTGGAGAGGCAGTGACAGTGTCACGGGGGTCTCTTGCCCTTGTTGATAAAGCTAGTAGCAGATGGGAAGAAACAGTTACTGTTCTTGTGGCATGAGGTTTTGGTCCTGATGGACCACAGCCTCCTGCCAGAGGGAGAGATGGAAGATTGCAGCCAATCCCAATTTCTATATGATGTTAAATGTGTTTAAAATATGTCATTTTACAAAAAAAAATGCTTAAAAAGTGCAAATGTTTTAGACAGGACATAATGATAAAGTGAAAGTAAAGTGATTCGGAATGTAATCTTGTAGCTTGAAATTTGGATCCTGATGACAGAAAAAGTAAAAACCCTAAATAGTCAATGCATGTTTGGGGATTTAACTTTCTAACTTGAGACATGGAAAGGGAATTTTGTTTTAGTGAAATTCCTAAAGCTCATGAGGTCTCCTGCAACTTCATAGATTGATGTTGTTATCTTGACATTATGATGATCAGAATTCCTTAGTGCGGAGGTTATTCCAAAAGTAAGATTGTCTCACAAATAATATCCTTGGTGGCTTTGACTGTTTTTTGTGCTATCACTCCACCACATTCTACAAACGAGACATAAGATATCCTACATACGTCAGGGGTCTTCAATGTTTTCCTGGCCAAGGACCTCAAAACTGATGCGAGATGGAGCGGGGACCCCCTAATTATATATGTTGTATGGAATTGTTTTATATCAAACTGTTCTACTAGTCACTCTACAGATGGAGTCATGTAACAAAAGTAATGCCTCCCTGGGATGATTTAAGTATTTCTGATTCTGATTCCTGGTTGATGGGACAGGTGTTGTGAATGAAACGGTGCCCAGCTTGAAACAGCTCCTGTATGTACCGGTAGCTGATTGTGTGTACTGATGATGGAAAGACATCTTCTGCTTTCATTTATCTGTTTACTACAGTGTGTTTAATTCATGTTAATGTGTATTCAAAGACAATTCAATGAGTGGGAAAAAATTGCAGGGGGGAATATATATATATAAAAAAAAAAAAAACAGTCTAATAAACCAAAACTTTTGCGACCCCCGTGCAGGACCCCTTGTTGAAGACCTCCGACTTACGTAGTATATATACATAACATTAACTACAACCTTTGTCAGTGCACCCATTATCATGCTCAGAATGTGTGTGTTATGATGTTTGGTGGGAGAAGGCACTGACACACAGGGAGCAGGTTCTGCAGACTGATCCAAATGTTTACATGCTTACAATAGACCCGCCATTGTTCATCCGTTACATTTTGCTCAAGGCAGCTCGATGTTATTCCTTTCAATTCTTTGAATCAACAAAATCAAACCAGATAGTTGCTGCAGCATTGGGATAGCTTGTGGCATTTGTGTATTTTTTTTCCCCATTGTTGTTGTACTTTACATGTATGTAGGCATTTGTTGAAAGTTGTGTGGCCCACATCTATAACGCATGCATGAAATTACACTACATGCCCCGTTTGCTGGCTGACTGACAGTTTTTCTAAGTAGGTCATCTATGTAAATGCCAGCCTGTCAGTTTACATCAATAGATGCAGGGGAAAGTCAGCGCCCTGTGACCAAAATCAGGTGGGCTTCACACAGTGTAGCCATACACATTGAGCACTAAAAAAACAGAAACACATGGCTTCTTTGGTCAACATAATCTTAAGCATTTTTGTCCCAGCAAACCACAACTAATATTAGGATCTCTATCATCAGTTGCTGTACTTGCGGCCTTATAAAGAAAGATTATAAACAGTAATCCTCTGTCTTAAGCTGTTATGTTTTTAGTTTTTTACAACTAACAACAGAAGTTGTTCAAAGAGCCACTGATAGTTAAGAGAACCTAAATCTTCTGGACATGCAGTACTCTCCATATTTATCGGCAGCCCTGATAATGATATATAAACGACTTTAAAACAAATTAATAATTCATTGCTTAATCATAGAGTGAAAAAAATGTCCTCAGCTTTCTATCAGCGGGATTAAGAGTTTTATGTACCCTGTTTACTGTTCTTGTAGTGGCCAGGTACGCTTGTGTCTAGGCATGAAAAATAGGTCTTATTTTTGTCATAGATCCACAAACCTGACACTTCTTTTGTACCTTAATATGTCATGGACAAATAATATTTGCTAGAACCAACCTGCTAAGCTTTCAACATCTATATGTTTTTTAGCAAAATAAAAAAAACGCAAACAACTTCATTGACTTTTAAATGTGTTATTGGAGCCCAGAATATTTATGCTTAAGACTCTTGTTTTAGAGGTTTTTTAAAAATTTGGAATATTGGGGTTAACAGCTGATTTTAAAGCGTTATGAGGAATCATGAAGACTTTTGTCACAGGAATCTTAAAAAGCTTGGTTGCATGTCCAGCTTACTTTTTGCAAACAGTGTTTTAAACCATTTTTTGTAGTCTCACTCACATTTAGAGAATAATTTATTTTCTCAGTTGAAATTAAGACATCATACCTTACTTGAATGTTAGGCTCTATTGTCTTCTCGGTTGTTAGGAGAAACAAAGATAGGCCTGCCTCTGTTCACATTAGGCCCAAAGAAAGAAAGAGAGAGAAATGAATAGAATGTTAATAAAAGGTTTATAGTGGGAAAGTTATTTCCAGCTTTTCCAGATTTGACAGGTATATTTCATTTGATATGTGTTCAGATAAGACTCTAGCGCTTTGCTAAGGGTGTAGAGCTGCTCAAGTATTCCACGACCAGGACAATTTTCCATTAAGTAAATTTAGTAAATGAAATGAAGTATTCAATTACATTATTTATTGAGATCCACCTCTATGAATAAGAATCACAATTTTAATACTAAAATAATGATCATTTATAAATAGTCTTTGAAAACAATAGACAAGAAAACTTGTCTACTTATGCAGAAGGCAAAGATTATTTGAAAAGACCTGCCTTCTCAGCTTAAAAAAAAACAAAACTAAAATGCACATCACAACCCTGTACCTGTTCCTGAGAGTAAACCCCTTTTAACACATGGGAGAGCATGCACAAGCCCATTGCCCCTCATGCATACTCTATTTTAAAGTTGCTGTTTGCATCGCTCATAGAAGCTTTCTTTCCAAAGTAACATTTGCAATTTTTCCACTACGTCAGACTCCCCACCGTTAAGTGGAAATGGGGACGAGCATGTAGGACGGCCTTACGTAGAAACATATCACCAGAATGATTGACTAGTGACTGATTAAGAGGACCACTTATTTTGATGATCCACCTGGAAAAAGAACATCCTCCACTCTACACTCTCAGCCTGCTCCTGGACGTGGAGAAGAGGAAGGAGATCATTGTCGATCATTCCATGCTGCACCAACATGTTCTGCAACAGCCTTTTTCCCACTGCCATCAGATTGCCTAATGTTGAAATAAACTCTAAATCAACTCACAGACTCTGCATCACACTGACAACACCAAACCAAAAAAGAACTTAACTCAAAAAAAGGTTTTTCTACTGCATTTTTCCCTATAAGTATTTGTCTTTGCACTGCTCTGACCTTCCATATCAATGCGTTTTGTACCATGTTTTTTCTTCCAGAATGTTTACATTTTCTGCACTTTATGAATTAGAAATGCTAATTTCCCTGCTAAGCTGCTGCTCATTTACCTGTAAATAGAGAATGCTATAATGCTATAAGGCCAACTGCAAATACGAACCCAACTACCAAGCGAGCACACATGGATACTTCAGTTAAAACAGTTCATGGAGCTAGGCTTTAGCTTTCTAGAGATGAAATACTATATCTGATGTCTGATGGTAGCACTAAAGATTTAACTCATATTGATGTGAACTCTCTGTTCTCTTCTGCTCAGTGGTTTTAGCATCTGTCAGTTTATTGTTTTGGTTGGATGTCCCTTCCATCATCTTTTGCTTTTAAAACCTCTTGTAAACCTGCAGTAGACTGACCGTTCACCCAGATAACGGATAAGCCAGCGGATTGGTAGAGCTAAAGAGAGATGTGTTCCTCGCGAGTAGGCAAAACCATAAAGGATTATAAACTATGTGTAAACAGTAGACTTTGATTCATCATTTAGTAGGTACCTGGAGTCTGAATGAGTTATGATAAATACAAAGCGTCCGGTTCAATAAGTAATTCATGAGGTCAAAGTATGTAAACTTGAGTGGGCTGCTCAGTTATCTCACTGCACTTTTATCTTATCCAGATTCGGCAGGGCCAATGAGTGCGGGCCACACTCACCCCCCCTCCATGGTTGGCATGGTGGGCCACCCCTCAGTTATCAGCACCTCCAGGCCCTTACCCTCCACTATGTCCACCTTGGGCTCTCCAATGAACGGCCTGGCATCGCCGTATCCCGTCATCACATCGTCTCTGGGATCACCCTCCGTACCCCTTCAGTCTACTCCCAACATGAACTTTGGACCAATCAGCAGTCCACAGGTGAGAACATGGGTGGGCCAGAGAAAGAAATCAATCATTGCTTTTTCAAGAGCTTCAATTTAAACAGATTCAAATGTTCTGATAAGCTGCTCTTCTACTTCTTGACTGTTTAAAGTTGTCCTTTTCTGCGAGACAGCATTTTAAAAATAGATAAGGTAGATAGAAAATGTAATATGCTTTGCATTCAATAGACTGTTGATCATGTGCTTTTCATTTGTGGGATATCTTACAGCAGATCAAAGCTTGATATATGGGTCTATCCAGTGTGGTTGGCCAGCACTTCACGGCTCTCCTCTTTCTCCTTAACCTTTCTGTTGACCTTTAAACTTCTTGCCCTAAAGGTAATCTCTGAGTCATGAATAACTGCTCTCATGCAGAGTACCAGTCACTCTATACCTCCAGAAAACAACCTGACAGCCCAGCATTACACTTCATGCATCTTTTCAGATTAAAATGGGGGTCTTAGATATGACAGGGTAGTTACATTGTTTATTCCAGATTATCTTTTATTGATTTTTTCATATTAAGAATTGAAAAATGTGAATGGCATCATTATTTTTTGTCAACCACAAGAGTAAAATAATTTAAAGTTCTCGTTTTGAAATTGCAATGGTTTTCCTTATATTTGAAATACAGATTGGATTTATTTCAGATTGGAATGTGAATATTTGTGAAGATCAAATTTCAAAGTTTTAAAACACAATTAAATAGATTCAGATCTTAATTTCAACGATTTATTTCTTAGTTGTGACTTTTTGTTTACAGTCATTATTTGCTGAAGAAAAAGCTCCTATTTTTAAACATTTAGGTAGCTGCTGAATGCTTACTTTTAGCATTCTGCTTTAATCAGCTTCCCATCAACTCTGAGTTTCTGTAGCATCCCCATAGCATGATACTACCTCCACCATTTTCACTCGGGAGTTTGTCCAGTGTACCTTTTAATTTCCTGTTCGCTATATGTTACATGCAAAGAAGTGGCCTTTCTCCCACTTCTATGTCAAGACTGATGCTCTCATACTATCACTAACCAGCTGCCCTTATGATGAGCTTATATTAAACACAAATGGCATCTGAAAAGGGCTTGTTACACTGGATATTATCAAGGGATGCACGAGTAAAACAGGTTGCTATTTGTTAAAGCCACATAATTTTTTTCTTTTGCCTTTACAGTTAACCTCTACTTTGTGCTAAACTCACAAAAACATACATATATGTGTGTTTTGTGGTATACAAAACATAAAATAGATCAAGGGGTATAAATATTTACTATTAAGTCTAAAGGGGCTGTTAATGGAGAAACCTGCTGTATTATGCGGCTGTTTGCATGAAATAAAGGCCGAACAAGAGTCAGCTGTGGATACAGAAAAACACATGTTCACACGCAGTGACGAATTGAGGCCTGCTTCTCTGGAAGCAGCAGTTGAAGTTATAAATGACTTCAGTCATGGTATGGATCTAGCCTACAGCGACAGGCTGATTAGATGTGTGTACTTTGAGGAGAAGTCTTTTCAATGCTTGTTAAAAGCAAAAGGACAAAGACAGTACATGGAGTAATTTCATGTTACGACTTGCATTTTGCATATTGGTGTGCTAAAAATTGCCTTTCCACATCATTAAAAGATGTGGAAATGTGTACGTACCGTGCTAATTACTGACTCTGCAACCCTTTTACTAGATCTGATTATTCAGGATTATATGACTTTATGTTTATTTGTATTCAAGGGGACATTTAACAGTTTATTATATTAACAATTCAAGTCAATAATTGTTTGAACGACCTCCTCAATCATGTTGTTAAAATCCAAATTTTTCCATTTGATCAACAATCATTTCTTTATACTCTTTACTTTGTTTAGTGCAATAAAAAACAGAATTTGTTTTCACCTTCATCTAGTTAGAACTGTGCTCCAAATTCAGCTGGCTAGTGATTTATGGTGAAGTTAATGAATTTGGAATTTCTTCATTATTCCACTCATGTTGTGTGACCCTCTACATGATGCTGCCACCACCATGCTCAACTGTTTTCACAGGTTTAAAATCTTCCACTTGTTCATCCAAACATTATTCTCGTCATTTGATAAAAATAAGACAGTGTATCTTGCCTGGTCATAAGACTTTAATGGTAGGGAAATGGCTTGCCCATGTATTTAGTAAGAAAACCAGCTTTTTTGTGTGCAGCGATGATGGCACGTGATGAGAATTCTTGGGTTGAGAACAAACTGACCCTTTCTTTCTTTCCTTTGTAAGTGGCAGTTTGAATCAGAGGCTTCATTCTTTTTACATAAAGTTTTAGCTGGTAAACTAAACAACTTAATGCTGCTTTTGTTCATCTCAGCGGAATTGACTGTATGAAAACATATGTAGATATATACATACATATAATTTTTTTTCCAGTTAGAATTTATATATTTAAGCTTGTGGCTTGTAGGGTTAGGAGAAAGAAACTGATACTGTATGGTGATTCCTCGTTTTTTAAACTAATAAAATATGATGATGGTCATAATGTATACTATTTATAATGACTTCCTCCTATTCCACAGATTTTTTCACAGTGTGTGTAAGACTGACCCCTTTAAAAACCACAAAAACTTTAGCCTACACGAAGCAACATGCTCGTAAATGGAAACAAAAAATATTCGGCCCTTCAATAATACATATTGAGAGCTTGTAGTTTCTATCTACAGCATTTTTTCTCTTAGTTTAAAGCAGCACCTCGTGTTAACAACAGCACTGAAAAGGTTCACTTTTCTAGTCTATGTGATATTAATTATTTGTGACAATGCTATTGCATGCTGAAGTAGAATCGCTGCTCACCACTGACTCACCGATGAGCAAACATGCAGGAACTGATGTTACATTTAGGAATGACTCTCCACCTCTGGGGCACCTACACAAGGAGGGGGTGGAAGATGCATGGAAACCCGGGCACCCTGAAAACATAACATGAAGGAAAATCCATGGTAACCTTTCAAGGATTGAAATATCCAGGTTCAGTAGCCCATCAGAGGACAAGCAGAGGCATGTTGTAAATAAGTGATGGGAAGGATGGAGGTGACTTTGTGAGGGACAATCCATATGTCAATCTGAGCTCAATGTATAAATCAGGAGCATGTCTCTTCCAGTTGTTTTGCAGATGTTTGCAAGTTGACAAATAAGAGTAGTGAGGGAAAATGTGGATGATGCAGCTTTGTCAAACAGTTCAAGGTCAGAGGGCAGGATGTTGATAAGAGGCTGAAAATATGCAGAGGTCAAAGGTGGGCTGACTTTTACTCAGTCTTGAAAATGATTATCATCTCAGAGTAATTTCCAGGGGAGCGACGTCCCTGTTAACCTTTTTAAAGTTTTATTAATATGTGATGTCTGAACCTGTTACTATCCTCATCTCAAAAAGTATTTATCCCTTTGCAGATGTAATCTATCATTGCAATATATAAATCCCTTGTTAACGTTCACATTACCTGACAAAAAAAAATTATATCAGAATAAGCAAATAAAAAACAAAAACAATTTTTACTTTAATTCCAGGGAACATATTATATTTCATTAAGGAAAAAAGCAATCCAAAGCAACCTAACTCAGTGTGAAATATAATCGCCCTCACTTGTTGAACCATCAATTAAAGCTGAAGTTCGTTTTTTTTTTTTTTTGTCACACCAGAATTTAATTACTGAGTGACAACTCGAATCAATAAATCACTTGACAATTACAGGTCTGACAACCTGAAATACACTTAAAAGCTTCATATCACTCCTTAATTTAAAGAAATTCAGACATCTGAAACACATCGGTGAGTTTCAGTGTCTATGCCTGAAAAAAATAACAATAATGGGGATCTTGATTATAGCGGTTGGTTTAATTACAAAAACATTCAACAAATTATAAATGCAGAAGCCAGAGAAACATTTAATATGTTGTTAGCATGACCTGGCTGATTTAAGTTCAGCTTAAACAGCGAGACAGGGGGCAACTAAGGCCTCCATGAGAACGATTCCCGGGTAGAAAACACTGCCATAGGAACATAAGAAACATTTTTCTGTGGACTGACAAACGGACCTTTTGGACATCTGGCATAAAGCAAAGTTTTTTCAAATCCCTACAATGCATATTTATTAGTTACAGCAAAACCCTTGAGGAAAGGACTGTTGCAAATAGTTTTAATACATAAGAAATACTTTTTTCACATACACTCTAAAAGAAATTGTAGCTCCAACGTAAATTAATTTCTTCAATTATGAATTTAATAAATTAAGTTGGACTTGTATAAATTACTTGTTGCCAATTGAAGCAGTCAGTTGGAACAGCATTTTCTTTTTGTGTAGCTGCTTTCCTTAGACAATTCAGTTTATCATTTAAAACAGCATTTTCTATTTATACATGTAATTTTTATTTTTATTTTTTGGAATAAATTATGTATATTAGTTATGTAAAACATTTATGTAAAACAAAAAGGAAGAAACTAGGAGAATCTGTCAGGGGGGAAATACTTTTTGACAGGGTTTTACTTTATTCAGATGGACTCATTAAAGATGTTGTTCAGTGTGGATAGCAAGGTTTCTATCAATAGTGTTTTTTTCATTGATTTAAATATCTTTGATTAGTCTTAAAACAGAAAAGTCTGCTTGAGTGCCCTCAGCGGTTGTTGTTGAGTACTGCAGCCCTCACTCCTGTCCTTTTTCAACAAGCGCACACAACAAACTTGTATGACAAGTCTCAAAGCACAGATTCGGTCCCTCCCCCGAGTAAGCATGTGATTGTTTGCTGAGACACTTTCACAACGTGTGTGGGTGGGGAGAGGGAAAAAAAGTGATCTAGCAGAATACAAAAAAACAAAAAAAACAAAGGGGAAGGGAGATAGTGTCATGAGACTGCTGATCTCCTTTCACTTCCTCTGTACTTCCTCCTGTGCTGTTTTGCTCAGTTCCAGCCACCCCAGCTTAAACTATTTGTTCTCTCTTTTCTCTTCCTGCCATCCTTAGATGAACTCGATGAACAGTGTTAGCAGTTCGGAGGACATCAAGCCTCCGCCGGGCCTGCAGCCTTTGGGAAACATCAACTATCAGTGTACGAGCCCCGGGGGGATGTCAAAGCACATCTGTGCTATTTGTGGGGATCGATCTTCAGGTAATATAAAAGGGGACTAAACATCCTCTTAGGTTTAGTTATACTTCTTTCAGCTGTGATCTGGGGTACGGGTTGAGTGCTGGGATATTTCTGATTGAGTCTGATTTCCTACAGGAAAGCACTACGGTGTGTACAGCTGTGAGGGCTGTAAAGGCTTCTTTAAACGCACTGTACGTAAAGATCTCACTTACACGTGTCGAGACAACAAAGAGTGCCTGATAGACAAGCGTCAGCGGAACCGCTGCCAGTACTGCCGCTATCAGAAGTGCCTGGCCATGGGCATGAAGAGAGAAGGTGAGCCTGTGGAGTCTTTTTAAAGAGGTTCTGGTTTTAGAGCTTTGATCATTTGTCTTTACTTTGATGGTCGCATAGTTTAATGATTATTAATCATTGTCAAAATATCGAAACAAACTGTCGATACATATCTCATTAGTTTTCTTCATAAAGAAAAGTTAAATTGGATTTGGTGGTTTTTATAGATTTTACCAACCACCTGTCAGTCCATCCATCCATCCATCCATCCATCCATCCATCCATCCATCCATCCATCCATCCATCCATCCATCCATCCATCCATCCATCCATCCATCCATCCATCCATCCATCTGTCCTTCCCTCCACCCATCCATCCATCTGCCTGTCAATCTACCTGTCCGTCCGTCCGTCCGTCCGTCCGTCCGTCCGTCCGTCCATCCATCCATCCATCCATCCATCCATCCATCCATCCATCCATCCATCCATCCATCTCATGTAGCCTAGATCCTTTAATCATCCTGTAGAAGAACACAGTTCTGTTGGAAAGAAAAATATTAAAACTATGAACGACCTGCTATCACCTTACAATAGGAGTGTACATCCTTCAACTAAAGCTTTGCTCTGCTACCTCATTATTCAGGTTCACCATTTGGTCTTTTTAAGCACACCAGTTATCAGTACTAGTAATTCTTTTCAAGCTGAAAAAAAGCCAATCAAGATTTTCTTCACATTTTATTTACTCAAAATTATCCATCTTCGGCTGATTATCCCTCAGGGTCATGGGGGCTGATGCCTATCTCTGGCGGGCAAAAAGGGAGCACCCCCTGTGACCAAAGAGACACAACATGCGCACACATACACACGTATGGTCAGTTTAGAGACGCCTGTTATTAAGATATTTTTACAGACCATGGAAGGAAGCCAGAGTACCCAGAGAGAACCCACACATGCAAGGGGAGAACATAAATTCTCCAGAAAGCAAGGGATGGACTTTTAGCCAAGGCAACAGTTCTTCAGGCTGTGCCACCATGCTGCCCTTATTTAAAGCCGTACTTTGAACTAATTGAGACCTCTACTGATTTTGGGTAAAAAAAATAAATTTTTTTTAGATATTTGCTGCAAAAGTTTTTCATTTACGGTGGCATTGGGAATTAAACAAACATAAATGGCATCCTGATTTGTTAAGTTTTAAACGATTGTAGAGGATTTAAACCCCAAATCAGGAAATAATTCTGACAAAAAAACTCTTGGGTTCTATCTAACTGATAGATTTAAACCGCATTGGTAAAGGTAGACTGGGCAAATTAAGACTCCTTCCTAAGCAGACCAAATAAAACGTAAAAGGTTCTTAATCACAGTTTTAATTCTAACAAGAGCATGCTTATTCAGCCTTTTTAGTTTTATTGTCATACTTAACCCTCTAACACAGAGGTCCTCAAAATTTTTACTTGACTCATGACCCAAAATATTGCATCAGTATACAAATATATATAACGATCAAATATAAAACAATTAACATCTGCAACCAAATTATTATTTTTTTTTTCCATTTTAAAGTTTTAAAAATTGTTACGAACTTAACAGAAATATGGATTCTTGTAGGTTATTCTAAGATCCCATACTAGTTAATCCAGAATCACAGCTAAAAGGGTTGGATTTATTTGTCTGGTAAACTTCCAAAAAAGTTAAAAAACAATCTGCTGGACTTTGAAGACGTTTCCCTTCCCATCCAGGAAGCTTTTTCAATTCCAATATCAGAATTAACGTTGAGTTGCTTTAAACTGTAGCCCAACACGACCCTGTTTTTGCTTAGACAACACATGTCTAGCTGTGCGGGACCTATTTCACGATAGGCGGACACGATTTTAATGGCATTGTTTTATATATTTATATTAGAAGCAAACTTTCAGCTGTTGTTTTCATTCCAATCCGATTGGATACTGTAAATTTGTATTCCTAATCAAAAGCAACTGAATAAAAGAAAAAAAATGCACAAACATGTATTCATAAAAGTAATCTTGCTTTTATGTTCTTAAACCTGATTTATTAGTTCTTGTACAATTAAAATGTGTATTGTATGTACATCACAACTTGATGTTTTATTCCTTTATATTCTTCATTCAATTTTCTATATTTTGGTTATAAAAAAAAAAAAGTAATTTCTCATAGTTAAATTTCAATCCTTTTGGTATTTTTATGTTACCTACTGTAGCTATAAAAGAAGATATTCAAAGTTGGGAGTTTGAACTTATATGGATGTCTCGTGTTTGTCCGTGTTTGGGTGTGGGTGTGTTTGCAGCCGTGCAGGAAGAGAGGCAGCGTGGGAAGGAGCGTGGCGAGAACGAGGTGGAGTCTACCAGCACTTTTAACGAAGACATGCCCGTGGAAAAGATCCTGGATGCTGAGCTGGCCGTGGAGCCCAAAACAGAGACATACAGCGACGGCAGCCCAGGGAACTCGGTAGGCATCCCAAGAGAGAGTCTTTTAATATGAGGGCAAATATAAGAACGTATAAGTGTGAGACCCATCAGTGAATAAAAAATGTGCTGTTGAAATGAAATAATGAGAATCCCAATCAGTTCATGTTAAAATAAGTTTGAAAAGGAATCTCGGAGCGTTGATATAGGATTTCACAATTAGTTAATCAAAGGTTGGTCCTACAGGTTAAGCAGCTTGTGAGACTAAATCCAATTTAGACCTAATCTGCTCCGAATGCTGATTTTGTTGTTTTGAAATGTGGAAAAAAGTCATCAGATTAAGGAACAGTAGTAAAAATCCTTGCTTTTCATGGTAATTGACTTGTTATTCCAAACTGCAAACATCTATGTATGCTTTCTAGGATTTTTTGTGAGAGATCAACACAGGATAGGTGCAAGGTTGCTAAGATTGAAAAGGTTTCTTAGTATCAACAATGTGAGAGCTGAACTTCACATTGTCGGAAGTCTTCTGCAGTCTCTTACAGGTTTTCCCATAAGATTTTACCTTTAATTAGCTTTATCCACTTAACATGAATGATTAAAAGGGTGCAAAAACTTTTACAAGTCAGAGTTTTTTATGGCTTTATTGTGCTAAGGTTTTGTCAACAAGAATCTCAAGTCATGAGGGGAAACTTCTGGTTTACAAAGTACCAAACATAGCCACAGCTGCACTTGCTCTCTGACTGTGGTCACCACGACTTTATGAGTCACCAAAGGGGCTTTTATGCTCGGGTCTTAACTATATCATTTGGGCTTCCTTCCTGTATGTTCCTCTCCAGACCAACGACCCCGTCACCAATATCTGCCAGGCGGCCGACAAGCAGCTCTTCACCTTGGTGGAGTGGGCCAAAAGGATCCCGCATTTCTCCGAACTCCCCCTGGACGACCAGGTCATCCTGCTCCGAGCAGGTAGGCGTGCAAATAGGCTGATGCACACTGAAAGAAAAACACATATAAACTCAGAAAGAGAGGCTTTCTTTTAAAAACACACTTACACACAGTCACTTCCTGTCTATTTCAAACTATTACCGGTACATTTATTTAAACCAATATAACTGGACTTTTTGTCAAGTCCCACTGGTAGAGTTTGCAGTGCTATCCATACTGCCCCCTGCTGGTGGGAGAGTTGCACACATGCCAGTTATAAAGGCAGTCAATGATAAGAGACGAGACAAAATCAACCAATTATACTGACCATACAAAATATTAATATGCTTTATTTTTTCTGTTCAGGCTGGAATGAGCTGCTCATTGCTTCTTTCTCCCATCGCTCGGTCACAGTTAAAGACGGCATCCTGTTGGCGACAGGTCTACATGTCCACAGAAGTAGCGCCCACAGTGCAGGAGTGGGATCCATCTTTGATAGGTAGGAAGTCCTCAGATATGACCGAAGAGTTATAACTACAACAACTTAGGTGTAGATCACCTCTTCTGTGGCCTCATTGTCAATCATTCTGGTGATATGTTTATGTGCTCATCCCCATTTTCACTTATTGTTAGAGAGTCTGACATAGTGGAAAAATTGCAAATCTTCCTTTGGAAAGTAAAGTTGTATGAGCGATGCAAACAGAAACTTTTAAACAGGGAGTACGCGAGAAGAAATGGGCTCTTGCACGCGATTAACAGGCATTCCCTTTTGGGAGCGGGTGCAGAGTTGTGCATGTGTGTTGTTTTGTTTTTTAAGCGGAGAGGTTGTGAAAATCTTCCACTATACTTTTAAAAATGAGGTGATTTTTAAAAACTGAGCTCTTAAATTAAATAGTGACTGTTATTTTGTTTTGTTTTTGTCAGTGATCTTTTTTATGGTTAATGCTGGGAATTGGAGCAGGGGTCTTATAAACTCTGCCTATGTTGTTTTCCAGGTCTAATTAAGGAGCCATTTGATGACATAGAACTTGAGCAGTTTTTACATGGAATAATATAAAATCACAAATCCTATATTTTTTGATCCACCGGGTTTTGTTTGTTTTGGGTTTTTTTTTTTTTTACATACCGTTAGAAAAGTCAAAAGGATAACTTCTAACTTTTTTACTACTCACGCAAATAGCACCAGAACTGTGGGTCATGAGCTGGGGTGAAATGTCTGTATTGTTAAGACATATAATCAACAATCTGCATCTAGTGCTGTGTTATCCAAACAGAGCGGGACAAAAACTTTAGTATTATTCTTTTTTAAATAACAAAATTGAATAAAAACATTTTATTGTAGATTATTCATGATATTTTAATTAATCAGAAAACATTTTAATACAATACAATACGACAAATGAATAATCTGTGTTCCAGATAGCATTTTATTATTTAAATTCTTATTTTTTTTTTCTTAAGGCCTAGCACCTTTTTTTTTTCTTCAATTAAAAGTTTTTTAAAAAATATATCCAGTTGTATCTGCCGCCTGTTTTTGTGTGCCAGATTTGTACCATCTATGGTCATTGGCCGCTCATATTAATTTTGAGGTCCACTAATATTCCCCATACCACACTGTGGACACATCTTATCTACTGTATACTTCAGCCATGATTTGACAAGTCCAAGTGTTATAGAATAACAGTGATCTATTTTAGTCTGTATACCAGAAAGTACATAAAAGAGTCTGTGCCATATTACACAAATTGGAAGCTAATTAAAGCCCTAAGATTGATTAACAGAATTTGGAAACTACATGTTAATAAAACTAAATCAAGGGTAAATCATGTTCAAGATGTTCTAAAACCTTCAGTGTTACATTTTTATTAAAACAAACTATGGTGTTCAGTCATTATAAATGTGTTGATTTTTTTTTTTATTAAACTTTTAGTTTAAAGTAAACTTTTAATACGAACCGAAGCCTTTTATCCACCTAGAATGGACATTTTTTTAATTCCTGCAGAGTTCTCACAGAGTTGGTATCCAAAATGAAAGATATGCAGATGGATAAGACGGAGCTGGGCTGTCTGCGAGCTATCGTTCTATTCAACCCAGGTCAGTTTGGACTGCGCTCCAAATGCAGCACCTTTTTACACCTGCCTTATTATCACCTTAGAACACTGCATTGAACATGTCTCTATGTGTGACTTTGTGTTGTAGATGCAAAAGGTTTGTCAAACCCATCGGAGGTGGAGGCGCTAAGAGAAAAAGTCTACGCTTCATTGGAGTCGTATACAAAACAAAAGTACCCTGACCAGCCTGGCAGGTGGGAAATGCTATACTCACTGCTCATATTATAACAATAAAGCTGAAAGTTTATCCCTTATGTGGCGAGTTTTTAGCTACTACAGCATAAAAACATTAAATGTTTCGGCCAAAGCAGAGGATGATATTAATTGACTTAGGAGTGTTTCTGTGAACAGTTAGTGATGCAGCATAGAAAGGTATTTGTTTTGTAAAATGTTTTGGTAGAGAAATTATTCCCCTTTCGAGGGACAGAGTGACCTAAAAACTATTCACATGTTTCTTTTCAACAAGCTGCATTATGACCAAACACTTTAGTTTGTTTTACCGGGGTTTAATCCCATAGATCACATTAAAATAGTGCATAAAAAATGGAAAACTATACATGTTTTTGATCATTTTAAAGTGCAAGTTGCCCCAGAGCTTTACTTCTGCCCATATGTAACATTGAGAAATATTCCGAGGAAGGTGATGCCCTGAGGACTGCAGAACATGCAAAACGACTGAGGCACACTCCTTTTTGTCCTTTCTTGATGCATTTCTATTTATTTATATTACATTCTATTTTCGAAATGAATGCTTTTCTTTCCTATAGATTGTAGGTCAAGTTACTGACACTGAACTAGTGTCAAATTATTATACTACCACGCTGGACAGAGGATTTGGACTTGTTTTTATCCAATTACTATTTTTTTTTTACTATTATGATAAGCAAAATCATGGTTTATTTAATTACTTATTCCATTATAAGAAGTCCCCTAGCAAACCACTGTGTGTAGGAGGGGTGTCTCAGCAGAGAGCAGCTGCTCAGGGTGGAGCTTCTCGTCAGTTCTCCCCTGAAGTCACATCCCTGGCTACGCTAATTGTGAGCCGGGCTCACATTCAACACAGTGCAACGACAATGTTTGGGACACAAAGAACCCAAACCAATGACATAATGACAATTTCACATTAGGGCTGAAACAATTAATCGGATTAATCGATTATTGAAATAAACATAAAGTAATTCAGTAGTTTATTAATCGTGAACTGGGGTATAGAGACTCCCCACTGGGCTGACATTGTGCGGTGCTCGGGGAGCAGTGTTGGGTTAAGGGTCTTGCTCAGGGACCCAGAGTGCAGGCTGTAGGGATCGAACCGGATACGTGCAACCTTCACAGAGCACAAGCACACTGCTCTAACCACCAGGCCAACACTCCTCCAAATATGTAAATATTTTGCATTTAAGATAAAAAAACAAACCTTTTTAATCTGTTAGTATGCTCTATGCAGAACTCCTCAAGTGGAAAAGTTTTAGTTACATGTTGTTTAATTTCATGAAAAATCTTCTTTAAGGAACCTTTGGCTATCCCAATTTTTAGTCGCTTAATCGAAAAAATAATCAACAGATGAAACGATTTGCAACATAATCATTAGTTGCAGCCCTATTTCACATTAGCCATTGTGCAGTGTTAGTGCGGACATGCTGATCGCCAAAGTGATTCCACTAAAAAGCCGACTGTCGCTGCAACAGTCATCATAAAGCTCCTGAAAAACAGCAAAAGTCCTGACATGGTCTGCAAGCTGAAATTCTTGTGGTATTTTGGTGCCTGAATCACAAAACTGCGAGAATCCATCTTGTACTGCTCAATCTTAAATCATTCAAGCCCCAACGCAAACGGGTCAGCCAATCATTTTGTAAAGTTCTGCTTTAAGACGGGACATATAGCTTTAACGAAAGCAAGAGCTGTAACCAAGATAAATCTCTGTCCTGTCTACTATTTTTTTTTTTTTTTTTTTTCTTTTTTGGTGCTGAATATTTCATGTTTTGCAAAATCTCTAAGGCTTTTACAGAACAGATGTATCTCTAGGGAGGTTAAATTAAAGAAATGCATCAACAATTTTAACCTCTTAAGAGAACTGGTTGAACTAGATTTTTTTCCAAATCAAGCTAAGGTTGCTGCAATGTATACCACCTTCCACAGTTCTGTTCTTCTTTGTGTTGGTATATATTTCTAAAGTGATGACATGTTAAAAAAAAAGGAAAATTAGTGGCAATTTTAAAGGCCTAAGGGTAATAAAATATCCGCCATGTGTGAGTATACATGTGTAAGTTAAATAAATATATGAATGCGTTTTTCATTGTGTGCAGGTTTGCCAAACTGCTGCTGCGCCTGCCAGCTCTGCGCTCCATTGGTCTCAAGTGTTTGGAACATCTATTCTTCTTTAAGTTAATCGGAGACACGCCCATCGACACCTTCCTGATGGAGATGCTGGAGGCACCACATCAGATCACATGACACCAGAACCCCCCTTCCCTTCCCCTGTAAATATTCCCTCCTTGTGACCGATGTGAAGATGGAATAATAAAAAAAAAAAAAGACTTGATTGAAACTGTAAAACAAAGTATTTTCTACCAAGTAAAACAATGCAATTAAATATACCTGTGATATTTTCCAGTGGCTGGGAAAAGTAATCCCATATGCACACGATTCTAAAAGATTTGGTAACACATTTTGTAAATAGATAATTTGTTTTTAATGCAATGCTAATTGCAGAGGAATCTTATTTCATTCTAAGAGAGAGAAAACATTTCATAAAAGAAAACGTTAAATGCTTCCAGCAGAATAAATTTATTTAAACTATAAGTGAAAAACGTGTTGTGTATTTGTTTTCTATTGACTGGTTTGTTCTTCGGTGAGTACATCTTTTGTCCAGCAGAGGGCGCCAACAAAGCGCCTCAGTATGTCACACGTGGTGTGCAGATTTGTATCTTTTTCTCTTAGATGTGTGGATGATGGACAATTTCATTTTAACTTTTTTGTTCGGATTGTGTTTTACAGTCATATTATATGAGAAGAAAGAAATGAAAAACTTTAGACAAATTGTTTAAAACTGAATCAAGCAATACGAACAAAACATTTTTTGGGAATAAAAATTAAGATAACCAATTATGGTTGGAACATGGACTCTAAAGATGGATGCAACAGGGAGGTGGGACCAAAAGTGTTTTATTGTATTATTATATTCTTACAGTGAAATTTCACAAGCATCCAACCATTCAATGGAGTCTTTTTTTATCAGGTAATAAATATTTATTTATTTATTTTTTGCTTTATTACCAATTACACATTTGTCTATACCTGTGACAAAAACCTTACAATACGTACTTGTTTACCTTTCAAGTGAATATATTTTATTTGAATATGTTTAGTGATTCATAACCTTATCTCCCAGGGTAATAAATATGACATTAAAAAGCTTCATTGTTCACTGTTGGAGAGCTGTATCAGTCCCAAATCTCTATTGCATTCATCAGAGAGGGTGTGTCAAATTCATTTTTACATTGCATAACTTAAGCTTCAACAGATCTTTAAAAGGGACAATTCAACTGTATAAACAAAATTTTTGTTTTCATATTTTTCTTTGTAAAGAGGACACTGATATGGTAACTTTACCCTTATTTTTTCAGCAGTATTAGTCACTTCTTACACTTTAAGACCAAAGGCTTCTATTTTAGAGATAGCCGATAGAGATTTCAATAAAGCCTGTTTCTGATGTTGATTGTTTTGATTCAAATACAACCAATCACCGAAATGCGCTGCATTATTTTTGTCAATTCTTAAAGCCGATATTGATTTTTTTCTTCTTCCATTTACATGATTAAAAATGACATTGAATAGATGTTACATAACCTTAATTTAAACAAAAAACAAAAATTTTTCAGCTAATCAAACAAAATGAAAACAGAATGCAAATGGAGGGGACAAGAAAACATGCACTTCCCATGATCTTAAGACATGTTTGCTGAATGCACTAATATGTGAACAGGGTGCATTGCATTTTCTGATGCAGATACATGAAGAAAAATGTTTAAATAGTCCAAACATATAGGACTGTAAAGACTATTTCTATTCTATTTTAAGACTTTATAACTTTTCTGGCCCTTAAGGGATTGATGAATTGTCATGAGGGACTTAAGAGTTTGGCCAGAGTATCACAGTACAGTATATCTAAAAGCCAATAGCTCTTTTTCAGGGTGTCAGGAGAAACAAAAACAAAACAAATATCTCAAAAGTGAATGTGAATTTTGCAGATATGTTAGGATTTAGACTGGTTTTGGGGAGGGATCCCGCACCCACTGTTTAATGTAAAGCTGTGGGCAAATCATTAAACAATAAATGTCTTTGTCCTTTTTAAAAAAGGTCTTAATGAATATGACATTGCTTCTAAAAACCTCTTTGTTCATCCAAAACCATGACCCTAAATGGTAGGACAAACATTTTGTTATTTTAACACCGTTGTTGTTTCACCTAACCTTTAATTATGCAAAGCATGCACCTAAAGCTCACAGTTTTTATATTTCATTAAACTCATTTTAAAATTGAGGGATTGATTGGAGATTTGGATGGATTATTTGTAGACGGTTGTGCTTGTTTATTAAAAAAAAAAAAAAAAGACATTTTAAAGCACTTTACCAGGTAATGGCCAGAATGCCTGCCCTGGAAATGTTAAATTACTTTTTTTTTTTTTTTTTAAGCAATGCACATGTGCAAAATAATACTGGAGCTCCAGGCTATATGCCAAGCTAAACCGTGTGTTACTTTCGGGTGAGAGAATAGGACAAATAATGCTGAAATTTTAATATTTTGGCTGATCATTGACTGGATTAGTAAAGTAAGCAGAATATGTAACATCAGTCTACATATCCTAAAACTATGCTATCTTTAGAAAATAAAATGACAAAATAGAAAAGACAACTCTGTTAAGGTGCTTTAAATGGGTTTCTGTACTTTCACATTTTAAACCTAATCCCACATGCAATTTATTTCTTTGTTTGACTCCCTATTGTGTTTTAATCTCAGTCATATAAAATAACAGCTTAATAAAACACGATATGAATATTTTTTATTGACCAAATCAAATTAAGATATTGAACTTAATGAGATTATAACACTGTCTATCTGCCCATGCATCCATCCATCCCTCTTAGAGGAATTCAGAGTAGAAAAAGTATAAAGCCGCAGGGGGAGAGAAAGGGAGAGAGGGAGGAGGGGGATACTTGGCGAGAGGTAACCTGCACCTGCACATGAAGGACGCCTCTCCAGCTCTCTGTTTCTTTCCCGTTCTTCTTTAATAGGATAATGAATAGAGTAGTGCATGCTTTTACTGGATGAGCGAGGACGCTTTCAGAGGTCAGTGAGTGGAAGACCCGGAGAGAAAGTTTGATGCGCGGCTCCGCTCCGAGCAGCAGCTGGACTCTGAGCGCCAGAGATGCTTTGACAAACACTGGGAATATCTGAGCCAAAATACTTCTTTGCCTTCGAGAAACTGAGATATTACAGGTAATTTTAAAAATATATGTAATATCGGATGTTTTATCTCAGATGTATTAGTTCTAAAATTTGATTAAACGTGTTTTCTTTCCGTTAACTTTAAGTCAAATATCTTCAGCTTTTATGACTAAATATGTGACTTTATTTCTTTTCCTAAAATTTTAAATTCATTTTGTTGATGTATCTTCTAGGCCTATGTGGCCATTGAAATTAGCAGAAAAGCATACATTTAAAGTAAAATGAAATCTAAGTGTTTATTTATGTTTGGATATTCAGAATCTCTGATTTTACATGAAACCTGCTATTTTTATTTATTTTCTTTTTCTCCCCTGCAGATATGGATCAGAAGACAGCATGTGCTGGATGCCACCGGCCGATTAGGGACAGGTTCCTGCTCAGAGTCAGTGATGGCCTCTGGCATGAGGGGTGCATGCGGTGCGCAGCGTGCGGGGAGCCGCTCAGGAACTCCTGCTTTCTGCGGGACAGCAAACTTTTCTGCAGGCGGGACTACGCTGAGTGAGTGAACTTCCTATTTTCATAGTAACCGCAACTTTCTAAAGATCCATTGCAAACTAAAGCTTTGTTCTGACCCAGTCTTGTGTGTCTTGGTGTTATTGAGCGCAAAAAAAAAAAAAAAAAAAAAAAAAAAAAAAATATATATATATATATATATATATATATATATATATATATATATATATATATATATATATATATATATATATAGTTTAAGTAATAGCTGTGTTTATTCATTTGTCTGTGATTATTTTTAACCCACTTAGAATGTACTTCAATTTTCAAGCTAACATCCTAAATAATTAGGCTTTATTGTAACACTGCAAAGTGTATGCAGGCATCCTTTGCTTTTTGGAGTTTCTCCTCTCAATTATTTCTCATTTGGATCTGATAGACCAACATATAGTCTTTGGGGGTGTGTGCCTGTATGTTTTGTATCTCCCTATCCACACTCAGGAGCTTCCCCATGCACAGCATGCTGCTGCCATACATTTATCACTAAAGGATGATGAGGGAGTCAGTAACTTAAACGGTTAGTGCTTGACCAAAGGTAGTGTTTTAATGATGGTCAAAAACTCCAGCCTTGGTGTGTTTCAACCGTTATTTGCATGTTTACTTTGTCCCTCATGGGTTCTTCCTAGTTTATGGTGTGCAGAGATTCTAGTTGTCGGGGTCAGTATTTTCTGGAACCTGGTGCTTTGGACATTTTCTTCTCCTCCAGAATTACCATGCATATTTTTGGCTACCTCATGCACTAATTATCTCCTTGCCCGTAAGTTTTATTGGTTAACCAACAATTTAGCGCATTTGCATGGTGCCATATTCTGTCCTGTTTTGGATTAAAAAGCTTGGAAATTAGTTTCATAACTTAACCTACCCCCTCTGGTGCTTCTTTGGTCGGTATTTGTTCACTAATCTGCTCTAACAAGCATGTAAGGCTGTCATAAGAGTTTATTTTACACCAAAAACTATTCAGACAATATTTGCTAATAAAAGTTAAAGTTGATAGTGTTTGATCTTATTTAGAAGATTCGGAACATTGATGACTGTGGTTCGAAAAAATGGGAAAAGGTGCAACTAGTATGAATATTTTGCAAGGCATTGTGTGTAATCTTTTATAGCAAAAAGGGGTCTTTATACCTTATTGCATATTTGCAATAATTTTTTTTTTTTTCATTTGGTTTCCATTTCCTTATGGCCCTCTGTCCAAACGCTGGCCCAACTTTTACAAAAGAACCCTTGTCCACTGCTTGACCTTGATGAAGACTATGTGTTGGTTTGTTCTTTTTTTTGCAAAAGAAATACAGAATCTTAATTATTCAAAGAAACATTTGAAATTTTTAAGACATTAAACAGACTTTAAGAGGAAGTTGGCCTGGTGAGGTGAGAGGAGGTGACTGCAGAGTGTGAGGGTGGAGAAGGAATGTAAGGAGACCATTGTTTATTGTACATCAACATAGACAACACATGCACAATAATGCCATCGCACCTTCATAAGCAACCAGGGGTGCAGCTCAGCTGACACATTGTCAAAATGTGTTAAGATGTTGAGGGCCATCGGCTTGGCAAGTGCAAGCTGGGGAAAACATATGGTGTCCTCCCCACCTTTCACACCTCACTCAAAGAAATGTTCTTTCATCCTCACATTCTTCCTTCAAGCTGCTCTCACCCAAAAAAAGAGACGGTACACCCCAAAAGGCATTAACCCAGATTATCCTGGAACAGTGTATCAATCAAGGCAACCCAAAAAAGTTAACCAAAAGAAATCATCAGCATTTTAGAGAAATATTTAAAAG